TTCAAAATCCAATAATCAGAAGCATGGCTCATGCAGCATTAGAGCTCCTACAATAGCTTGAGTTCAAAACCCGTTGGGTTTTGACATCTCCGACCTCAATCTCATGATTTGACTGACAGGCGCTTATTTCAATTTGAGATGCACAATCTTCCACTCGGTACTTCGAAAATGAAATGTCTTGAATTCTGACGTTCCTATGACTTCAACTCAAACAGTTTCTTCAAAACGCCTGATACTGGTCGACATGAATAATCCCATTTATGTAATTATGAAATTCATTCGAATATGGTGATTGAAATCATTATATAGCAGGCAACTTTGTGTATTTTTGAGTCGTGGGCATATGCAAACAGCGCATCTTATATTTTTTTGTTCACTGTCATCCATTTACCGTAATTAAATGTTTAACTGTTCAGCGAAATAAAAGAGCGTATGCCAAACAATCTAAGAGACAAAGCATTGAATGAGCCAAGCGCGGGTAAATGCGACACCCATTTTGCTAACGATAAGTTTGTTTAGAAACATTTATTTTAACTGCAAGTGGCGAAAAAATCAGTATTTATCAACCCTAACAGTCATGCCGTTGTTTTTCTCCAACATCCCAGTTAGTCTCTGTGGGCCATTAACAAACTCTGATTGGACCAACGAGCAAAGACGACGCTGTTGCGCAACCTCCTGGGTCGACATGAGCCGCCCGGTGCTGTGTTGCAACCGACTCTGGGCCGGGTGGGGTGTCTCGCGCGACGCGTGCCGGCTGGGTGAGGTCAGTGATGGGGAGGGGGAGGGGGCATCGGAGAGGAAGGAACGGCTGTAGAACATAGGCAGTTGTGATCTGGGTGGGGTGGCATGTTTGTTGGTTTGTGAGTATGAAATTAGCCCAGAACCTGCGAAAAAGATGACGCATAAGCGTTGGGAAAATACACAAGGGGGTGTGCATGAACTAATTTAGATGCACACAAAATTAAGATGACCTAGATGCATGAACATGGCACATATGATTCATTGCCAAGTCTCGTGTTTAACCCGGCAGGCGGTGGGCCTCCCGGCCACCTTCCGCGCGGTGGGGGGGGGGGACATTTTTTGCCCCCCTCCCGTATCTCCGAAACTACTGGACGGATCCGGAAAATTCGAACGGCGTTCGATAGCCCTGTCAAATTTGTCGAAGGAAACCAAATTTCATTGACCTCGGGGTCACCGATGACGTCACAGGTCAGGTCAAAGATAAAATGTTTCACCGTTCACGGGGCTTCTAGGGAAAGCGCTATAACACCGAGTAAAACGCATTTTGTCGAAAATCAGCGATAGGGCATCAGTTGTCTAGTACATATGTTGCTATTAGAGGTCACTGGTCAGAGGTCAGGTCACCAAAGGTCACCAAGGGTCACCACATGAACCCAACTTTATTAAGGTTATGCGATGCATGCTTTATGGCCAGTTTTTCATTTCCAACTCAATGGTGCTGGTTATAAGACCATCAGGTACGGTTTAGGTCACTTTCTGGTGGAGGTCAGGTCAAGGTCAGGTCAAAAAAGGTCAAATTTCAAAGTTGATATTTTTGCATTAAATGGGTATTGATTCGATGCAGCTCGTCACGGGGAGTCTAATGGTGGTCTTTGTTTTGCGCTACGAGGTCTAGAATTGCTAAAAATTGAGTTTGAAAATTTGACGTCATCAATTTTGAACAGTTTTTTCGCTATAACTTGGCCAAAAAAGGGGTATCGATCTCAAGTTTGTTATGTAGATAGAAGGCGGTAGGGATTATCACATATATTCCGCTTTTTTCGAAATTCAAAAAACTTTTTGGATTTTTCGGCTATTATATTCAAAAAATCTATTTTTTAATTCTTGGGGGTCAAAATCCAAAAAATTCAAAAAACCGAAATAGCAGTTTTGTAGCCCTTTTGGTTCCACATCTTTTATTTTGAAACATTTTTCTGTATCTCTAAAGCTGTAGGCCTGACAGCTCTTCCCGCGAAACCTTTTTTGGGTCGAAAATGGCAGAAATGACGTCACTCTGACGTCATTAGCGGCCAACCTATCATAGCCTTTGGGAAAATTTTTGGTCACCATGTGCGCTAGCTACTCCCGGGAGGGTACTGAAAGTTTGGTGACGATCGGCGCAGCGGTTCTCGAGATATATCGAAAAAACTAAAGGGGGGGGGGGGGCAAAAAAATGCGCCCCCCACCGCCTGGAAGGTTAAAGTGCCTTTGCAATCGTAAGCCTGCTGAGCTCAGAAAACAATGATTTGACATCACGTGTCGCGTGGTTCAGGCAGACCCCCTGTGAGGCGAACCCAAAGACTTGTGTCGGGACCACCACTGAGCAGCGGCTGTGTCGACACCGTGTCGGCTCTGCATCGGACCGCCTGGGGCTAGTGGACCGGTCAGCGCTGCTCCCCTCAGTCATGGGGAGAGCAGAGCCGTGACCGAGACTCAAAGAGCTGACCGCGTCCAGCCAGTACTCTGTGACGCAAGTCGAGCGCAGCTGCCAGCCGCGGCGCCTAGACAAGGCAGAGGTGCAGACTGCGACCGGCTTTGTGACGCACAAGTCACCTGAAACTGTATACCAATGGATGTTTCGCCACATGGTAAGGTGCTGTTGGTCAACGTTCAGTGCATGGTGGCCTCAGGAGCGTCGAATTTGGGTCGAGGAGATTCCACAGCGGCCAATGCCAGTCTACAGCAGATTCTAAGTTGATGCTGAGCTTTGTGTGGTGGGAAATACATACTGATGCGTGTAGCACTAAATGCATGTGGCTTTACGGTACGAATATCTCTATATCATATGCAATATCATTGGCTATTGTTACTCACATCGGTATGCACAAATCTCCAACCGAACCCAGCGATAATTAAACGCATACCTACAATGCAAGTCCGTCAGCAAATCTCTGATAAATCTATCCAGAACTTCAACCTGCAAGGACAACACAAATTGACTGTCGCTGCATATCAACAATATATTGTGCTCCGACTCCCACATTTGGCCTGCATCGTTGCGAAACCAGTTGAAAGACCAGAAACCAGCTCTCTGGGATGCCGCGAGCGCCTTTGGCTCGTTGATGTCGGCTTTGTCTATATAGCAGCGCTCATCCGGGATGGCCAATCCGGTGACGGGAGGTATCCGAGTGGCACCAAGGTCGGCCCAAGACGGACTTTCCCGTCAGCGTCTAGCAGGCATGCATATCTATTATTCGAGTCTGTGCTCGCTTCAGTCTGAGAAGAACTGGACTGGCCGGTCCGGTAATGGGTGGTAATGGGTAGGATACGAACTTTCCTGTTTTGTCGCTATCGGGTGATCCCTGGCCTTACTGTGCGCTGAGAACAGCTGGTGCGTGCGGTGACGTCAGAAGACCAGGAAAATGAGAACTTAAGATCAGTGATGTGATATACAGGCTGTTCAGAACTGTATCATATTGTCGTTCTCATGCTCGTTCAGAGCCAGTCACGTATCCAAAGTGTCGAGAAAGCGGTATCGATTCGCTCACTAGTCACTACTATAGACGCCGAGGTGGATATACCTAGCACTTTTTTGTTATTTCAATGCATCTTTTAGGAAACCAATTACAATGCAATAATTAATTTGGTTAGAACAAAATATCATCAGTGATTAAAAGGAAGGTGGATTGTGATGTTTTATGAACTATGCTAAATGCGTATTGCCCTAAATTCACGCATTACGTTATTAACCCGCGCCCCACTGGGGGGGGGGGGCTATTTATAGCCCCCCCTCCCGTTTTTCTGCAATAACTTCCAAATCGCTTAACGTATCGACGCCAAACTTTCAGTACCTTCGGCTGCATCAATTTGACACCTTGTGTCAAAATTTGAACTTCGTACCTACCATAGGTCGGCCGGAAATGACGTCAGAGTGACGTCATGTTCGGCCGATTTCGACGCAAAACATTGAACCACGGCAATCGCTCCCAAGAGCTCAGTTTTTAAGCTAGATCCAATTTCTTTGCATGAGAGGACTCATAATAAACTGCGCTATCAAACTGCTATCTCGGATTTTCGAATTTTTGAAAATTTAAAAATTGTATATAATAGAATTCAAAATTTATATTTTTACATTTTTTTTTCAATTGTTTTTTGACTTTTCGAAAAAACCGGAATATATGTGATAGAACGCATTATTATGACTAACTCTAGCAAGTTTTAGCTAAATATCTTCAAAAATGACCAAGTTATACGCATTATTGCAAAAAATTAACAATTATTAATTTTTCAAATCAATTTTTCAGCACGAATTTGACATCGTACGCCAATATAAATAGCACCATCGTGTTCTTGAGCTCAAACTGCATCCAATAGACACCTTTTTGTTGAAAAAATTTAACTTCAAAATTTGACCTTTTTTGACCTGAATGTGACCTGACCTAAGCTAAATTTGACTCAAAATGACCTCGAATGACACAGACGACATCAAATTCGAAATTTTTGGCCCAAATGGACCATAAAACATGTGTCACGTGACCGACGGATGATAAAATATTTTCGTGACCTGTGATGACCTGACCTTGACCTGAAAATCAAAGTACAGGTTTGGTACCCTCAGAGTATCTAGAGCATCTGTTCACGAGTGTGTGAACCAAAAATGAGCATGATCTGACTTGTAAGACGGCGGCCAGAGCCCAAAACGTGAACAAGCCAAAATGCTAATAATTTTTACTTTGACCTGACCTGTGACGTCATCGGTGACCTCGAGGTCAATGACATTAGGTTTCGCTCGACAGTTTTTCCGGGGCTATCAGACGCCGTTTGAATTTTGACGATCGGCCCAGTAGTTTCGGAGTTAGGAGGGGGGGCTATGAATAGCCCCCCCCCCCAGTAGGGCGTGTTATACGCAGACCCCAGTGGGGCGCGGGTTAAAATTAGATACACACATGCATGTGAAAGACGTGAATGACTTTGATGGACTGATCATCCCTTATGACCACTTTTTGCGTCTCTCGGGTGACCCACAGAGCGTGGCACGCCGGCGCGGTCTCGGGTCTTACCTTCTTGTTGTCATTTTCTGTTGAGTCGAGCGCTCTCCTGCACGGATGTCTCAGAGATGGGACCAGCGCTGGAGACGGGTGAAAAGACTGGACTCTCTCCCAGGTGACCGCTCTCCCCTGCAACAGGTGAGCACGAGCGTTAGGTGGGTCATGTGTAGATGAGGCGGGGATGCAGATCGGTGGAGCATTGCTAAAGTGCCGGGATTGCTCACAGAGCTCAGATATTGGCTCAGACAAACTACACCTTGGCTTACTCAAGTAGCTGCTACACGTTGGCTCGAAAAACAGAGATGTTCTCTAAGGCAATCCACGCATCTACTCAAACAACTCAGGCCCTGTCTCAATCGACACAGGCTCAGACGAAAAGTCTGATAAAATATCGGATTACATCCATGCCACATGTAGGTACTCCAAAGACTCGTGACCGGTTGGTCGTGCGCATCACACAACCTGGACTCGGCATACTAAGCTGTCACCATTGACGTGAGGTGAAAGGTATAGCGTCGTGCTGTGTCATTCGATCCCAAACAGCGGGAGCCCGGTGTCAATCGCGGGTTATGTTGCATTATAGGTATAATGTTTCTCAGGGCCCCACGATGGGGCCGTACCGTTATCGTCATCGATAAAAACCAAATCCTCTTGTAAATTGGTAATTGTCAGGCGGTTCTCTGTCAAATGACATAAAGGAGATGTTTTTCGGGATAACAGCTACTGAAGCTGTTGTACTGTAGATAACAACCACTGGATAGTGAATACCTCTAATTGATTGGTAAAAAGCCGAATGAAAAATGTTATTTTCATTTTGTTTTGCATCCATTGCCTATTCATACACCCAATGTTATATTTCAGTTTTTTTCTTAACGATATTTGCATTGGTATAGGCAAGCAACCAATCGATAGTTATGCAATGTGAATAAATTTGTCTCAAATAGGCTTATGCTAATTCAATACTCCTGAATAGACTTTTGCCAATAGTTCCGACAGCGTTGGGACATTTCAATGTCAGGGTGTGTCTCGGTCTCTGTCCGAGGGGCCGAGACACGAGTTACGGTGCAGTACCACCAAGTTAAACGTCACAGGCTTAGCATGCATACGAAGCAGTAAGCAGTAACTACTGGAATGGGGTCACAAGCAGCGGGAGGAAAGACGATATTGGCTTGAACACCTTGTAATACTTAAAGATTGCAGGGAGCATGCCATAGACGAAAACGTTTTTTATAATATATTTACCTGCACATCGGTTTCATTTGAAAGCAAAAGCTAGCACGATCAGTAATTTGACAACAGTTGGGTATCATATCGACTGCGAAGGAAGTTATCGTCTATCACTTGCACGAGGATGTAACTTGACTTTGTTACCTGTGAAGAAAGATGGCTGATTAAAATCGAACGTAATTTTGTTCCCAAGGTGTTATCAAAATTTCTGGTTGTGTGCAGTTACACTAAATGATAGTAAATTAAATTGCAGTGTGAAGAACTGTAAATCCGTAAGCTGTGATTGTCCGAGATGTAAATTCCATGGCATCCGGATCAAAATGTGACTTGACTTGCAAATTATGGGCAATTTACCATGTAAATGTAGGCATTTACCAGTTGTGCGAACTTCAGCGGATGATGATGATGACGACGATGAGCTAATCGATAAAGAAGTTCGGAAGCAAATTGATGCAGCTTACGACACGTTGCAAAAAGCAACAGATTGTAAATCTCTACTGAAGAAGCATCTCACAAAAGAAGTCTTTGACATTGTCAAGAAGAAGTCAACCCTGTACGGTGGCACGCTTCTCGATGTGATACAATCTGGTGTGCGACACTTGGATTCAGAGGTTGGCGTGTACGCCCCAGATGCAGAATCGTACACGGTTTTGCTCCGCTACTTGACCGTATCATCGATGATTACCATGGCGGCTTCTCCTCTATCGACCGCCACCCACCATGCAATTACGGCGACCCCAGCACGGTCAGCAGAATCGACCCAGAGGGGCGCTTCGTGCTCTCCATGCACCTCAGCTGCTCCCGCTCCGTCCAGGGCTATCCTCTCAACTCGTTGTTGACCAAAGACCAATGCAGCGGCATCGAGAGCCGCCTGTTTACTATGCTCGGGCGACTTCAAGGCCAGGTAGCAGGCGAGTACTACCCGTTCGCGATGATGACTGATGAAATTCGCAAACGTCTTGAAGATGAAAACGCCCTACCGGGGGAATGTAACCGTTTTCTGTTGGCCGCTAACGCCTGCAGGGACTGGCCAACGGGTCGTGGAGTCTTCTTCAACAAGGATCTATCTTTCCTAGTGTGGCTGAATAAGGCGGATCACGTGCGTATCATCTCTCGCGAGGACGACGGTGACATGCCATCGGCCTACGGGCGTCTCGTAGACGGTCTACAGCAACTGGAGGAGAAGGTCAGCTTCTCCAAGAGCAGCCGCCTCGGCTTCGTCACGTTCAGTCCTACCGATCTGGGCTCGGCTCTGCGCGTCTCGGTGCGACTTCGCCTTCCTCGACTGGCCATTGAGCCGACCAAGCTGAATGCTGCCGCCAAAAAGCTTCAGCTGCGCATTCGGGGAACGGAGGGCGAGCAGCACATCATCAGGGCCGGGGTGCTGGACGTCTGTAACCGCCGCACACTTGGAATCAACGAGATCGACACCGTCAGGGAGGTGGTGGACGGCGTCAACGAGCTGATCAAAATGGAGAAATTCTCCTAAAATTTACGCACAAATTTGCGCGTTCTCTTCAAATTTCCGAGTAAATTTACGCTGTGAAACATGCAAATTGGAACCCGTAACAATGCATTGATTAGGGACCAAGGATGTCCTTCTGTGGTTGTTTTTTTGTGCGTCATGTTTCACGAAAACAGTGACCATCCGGAAAACAGTGGCCATCCCGCCGTCGGCATAGCAGACCTTGACAAAATTGCGTGTTTGATGTCAAAACATTTTGGTGTTCACGCGGTACCCGTCCTTCAATAGTGCACGTCAATTAATGGGAAGATCGGTTACATTCGTGACTGTGGAACAAGAAAACAACAGACCAAGCACCGTTAATATCGTGAATATCAGTGATTCACCAAGAAAGGCACGCTGAAGCTAACAGCCCCCTAGTTTGTTTGGCAGCACAATAGCTGGACGATCTGGGGACGTGATAATATATTTTCCTTACTTTGCGTCAAGAAGTGTCGAGTGTCTCGCTGGTTGACCTTCGTCTGCGTGATTTTCAGACACTCGGATCAACTCTTTCGCGGACAATGCATTGCGCTAGCCAAGGAGAATACTTAGGACTCGGATACGCCCCGTGGGTTCTTTTGTTTTCAGGCGCCTCTCAGGCAAGCAACCGCTGCGCTGTGCTCGTAAATTCCGACTGACGTGCTGTCTGCTAGGAAACAGAGGTCGAAAAAATGCTAATAAACTTCTTTACGATACCTGTGTTTTGTGTGATGTATCTGGAGCCCGTAGAGTCTGCAATAGCAGACTCTACGGGTTTATTCAAATTCTTGCATTATCCGCATTCCATTGTCGCAAGATATTTATAAAAAGTACGAAACAACACGTAACAGCTGCGCAATGAATAACACCATTGCGCATTCACAATTGCGCATTACATACTGAAACCTTCCAAGTCGTACATCCCGTCAGCGCAATACCAGATTTTAGACTCCACAATACACTGCGATCGGACAAAGGCAATAGCTCAGCGCAGTAAAACAATTCCCGTTTCAAGCCCTCGGGTCGGTCTTTGTCACCCGTAACCGCGGCCATCAGAGAGGAAAAGCCTTTTATGGCCGTGGCGTGGCGTCGAGACTAGGAATTCATCAGCCGCCAGACGGGTGACGTCACAGGGCTGTTCGGAGAGCTCCGAGGTAGGCAGCCGCTGGCACGGGGCGGGGGCGGCGCTCCGGGGAGGGAGGGGAGGGTTGGCACGCCACGAAGGCTCCGACACGAAGGTCGACCACCACCTGAGGCGAGCTCTTCGCAGAAGCTGCTTGGACGGGCGCTGATGGTCACCCGAGAAACACCAGCACGGCGGCTCTGTCGGCGCCGCCGTATGACGTCATCCCCGGGCGTTTGTGACGTCACTGAGCTCGGTGACACTGGCTGATTGGTCTCGGAGGTGCTTGTTACGCGGCGATGGATGAGCCGGCGGGGGGCGGCGCTGGAGATGGCCGCGGGCTGAGAGGATCACTGATCTATCACAGCTAGTGCGCCGCGATCCGGCACTCAGAGACAATCAGTTAGGGCGTCACAGACTAAGGGCCTTCCGCCCGGGAGTTTAGCTCAGAGACAATCAACTGAGCCGCCACAGACTAAGGACCTCCCCCACTGGGAGTTTAGAGCCAAGCTTTCCGGCTTAGCTTCCACTGCCACTGCCCATCAACCGGACGTTCATAAAATCAATTGAGCTTCCAATTTCATCCGGGAATCATAAGTTACCCGGCTTCCCCGCACTCCGACTTGGATTTAAAGGTAGTGTGCCAGCTTTCCTGGACCGTATGGAGTTAATGGCCCAGATAAGAAGAACTGGATTTTTAGAACTTATCCATACCTTCAAAACTCATGGAAACGTCTTAAATTCTTCAAATTTTGAGTACCCCAGTGCGAAATTCGCCCCGACGGGTTGTCGGTCGTACCCCAACCACATTTCACACCACTATGAACAATAAATGCACACACTGAAATCGCTATTACCGATATGCTCATCCAATCAAGTTTCGATAAACCCGTTCATCATCATCTCCTGCGGTTTCGAACACGCCTGTTAGGTGGTGCGGTAGACCGCGCCCAAAGCCAGGGCCCCGGTAACGTGAGGTAGCCGAGTCGGGGCAGCGTGCGCTGACCCAAGCCGGGGCCGCGCGTCCTTCCGGTGTCATGTGATAGCCCGGGGCTGCCCGCGGGGATGCGGTAGACCGCGCCCAAAGCTGCGGCCCCGGCTTGGGTCAGCGCACGCTGCCCCGACTCGGCTACCTCACGTTACCGGGGCCCTGGCTTTGGGCGTGGCTTCTGCTCATACTTTGTGGTGCGGTGGTGGTGCGTCGGGCCGCGCGCTCTGACTTCGGCCAAGAAAAATGCGTCAGCTGATCATTGTCATTTCTGCCACTTGTGTGTGGTGAAATGGGGTCATAACTTAAGAGACGGCTTTTTCATATCAATTATTCTACATAAAATCATATTTCAAACCATAAATAATGTTCGACAGCCAAATAAAAGAAACAGTACCAAATACAGGCTTACAGTTTAAGGCTCGACATTGTGTTGTCTACGATTAGACAGCTGATAACTCATTCCCGTACGTCGTAACTCTATAATGACCTTTGCTTATTGTCACATGTGCGCCGCATTCGCGATTGTTGCCGACGCCTGTCTGCAGGTCAGCCCACTACAGTTGTTATACATATCGAAAAACCGAGACTCTTTTAGGCGAAAAAGGCATTATTCCAGGCCCATTTTTGATTTTCTTTGCGATATTAGGTAAAAACAGAAGCTTCTTATCCTAGGAAAAATAAAATGGGAAATCTTTCAAAGGTGGCACACTACCTTTAAGCCGCCGCAGCCTGATATTAGTATCTCTAGCCACAATCGAGCTCGTGAGAGTTGACCCGGAGGACCCCGGCCGAATACAAAGCGGATGACCCCCGGCCGAGTTTGCTCTCCTGGCGCCGCGGCGTTGCGTCATCCGTCGATGACTGGTGACTCGAGGCTCCAACGGTCACGGCATCGCCGCTTTAGACGCCGGGGCTTGGCGGCTGAGCCATTCCCTGACGGTAGTCTTATCAATTCTCAGCAGACAGGCCTCACAGCGGCCGCGTGGTCAGTGTGCCAGGTCAAGGCCAATGTGGCACTTGGGTGTCGGGAAAACGAGTGGGAACTGGGCAGATTTATGCGAGCTGAGAACGATACATATCTTGGCATATGTATCCTGGCGACAGGGCTGTCCTCGGTACATGCCATCACTGCGCGGTAAATGTTGTTGTCAGGTGTGACATTGTCTATGATTTCAGACGCATGGTTTGTGATTGCAGTGACTGTCACATGACTGCTCTGTTACTGATGACAGGCAACTGTCCGACCTGTCACAAACTGACACGCCGGCGTGGCTGAAAGCTCAAAGCTGATCGCCACAGGGCTTGGCAGACAGGTTAGTCGTGGCTGATGTTTGTCAGAGTAGGCATGGTGTTTGAGGGGCCGTCCCATCGCCGAACACCGCCCCGTGCACGCCCATGCTGGTGGGGGAGTGAGTGTGCGCTGTGCACTGTGCAGACAGGGCAGCGCCCTTCTGCACAGTGCGATTGGAGCTCAAAACTACGCAAGTGAAAAGCACGTCAGTGCGTGATCCAAATTACTCATTTTTATTTATAGATGTATTAACCCTCGCCCGCACATGCCATTTTCCCATCCTAGAACGCACATGGGGGGGGGGGGGGGTGGTTGCCACCCCCCCCGCGCCATTTCGTTCCTGTTGGAGATAGAGCTTAGCGGTAAAGACCAAAAAGATTCTTTGGGAAGAGACGAATCCAATGATACCCAGTTTTACCTTCTCAGGTCAGTCATTGACCTTCCAGGTCAGGTCAAACTAAAAAATGTTGCTGTTTTAGGTCACCGTTGGATATCAAGCGCGCTGCTTGTCATATGCCGATGACGATGCCGTTTTCTGGTGCCAAGCCAGCTAGAACCTCTTTGTCACACTACCCGACCAGGTTTTTGCTGCTGAGGTCATCTCAGGTCAAGTTAGGTCAAGGTCAATAATATGTGTTTGTATGTCTGTGTGTGTCTGTGTGTATACTGATGTGTGCACCGATTGTTTATGTGTCCATATTACATGAAATCATGATCTGAGAAGCTTTTACCAAAAATGTAGTCAAAAAATTTCAAAAAAAAAGTAAATTCAGCTTGCCTAAAACGCAATTATCTTAGATGACCTAGGTTGACCTTGACCCTGACCTTGACCTCTGTAGTACATCGTCGAACAACATGTTTCATGATAGGTGGGAGGTAGGATTGGCATAAAAGGCCGAAATCAAGGTGTTAAAAGCTCACAAGGCCCATAGCCAGCGCAAGATGTTGAGAATTGGCCATTTGGGTCATGACATGACCTGAAAAACAAGGTCATATCTCCAAAACCAAAAACCACAGAAACTTGAAATTTTCAGTGAACATCAAGAAAGGATAGAGGAGCAGCTATGCGAAAAATCAGCCTTCTAGCTCTAAAAATGTTGAGTGCAGAGCAGAAAGACTACCTGGGGGGGGGGGGGGTGGCAACCACCCCCCCATGTGCGGGCGAGGGTTAATCACTGTAAAGAATGTTACAATTAGAAGTGTTTACTTTGCTTTACATACAAATCAGACAAGACGTCAGAAGGTCTAAGCATGACAGTGCTTCTGCTGGCATGTTTTGCTGACTGACATGACTGCGCATTGCATCTGCCTGCACATCGCAGCTCTCCCGAGAACAGTAAAAGGTGATACAGCTCGCCAGAAGGCGCTCCTGTTGGCCTTGAGACGGCTCGTGTTTGGTTGAGCCCACACTGTAGTCGTGGGTGGACTCTTGGTTTGTTCTTCCCTTTTATAGGTGCAGCTTTTCTTAATCACTCCACCCTTCACGTGATGTGATCCCCAAACACGTCAGTCGACTTATATCAAACAAAGCCTTGTTGCATTGCTAGTAAAACAAATGACAAGCAGCAAGCAATCAAGTGCCTTCATTTACTCTCAGG